GCTGATAAACATTTTATTTTTAAATGCTAAATTATATCTGACATTATTTTTGCATTGTATTTTGCATGCATGCTATTTTGTAGAGTATCATTATTGGTACTGTAACTGTATCAGTTCTTTACTTTCTTGGTGTATCACCTATATTAATCACTTAGAATGTATAAACCTTTTTACCAATCTACTACAGTTCTCCAAGTAAACTTCCACTTCACTGAACACAAAATCAGCCCGATTTTGGGGAATGGGCTTACACCAGGGGAATCCTCATTTTTAATCAAAAGGCAATTTTTCAGCAATGCTTGCCTAATCCAAAACTAATATTTTATTTTATTTGTCATTCAGATAGTAAGTCTGGGCTTTTACAAGATTCTTTTATTGTCACTGGAACATAAAATACAAGTAAAATTTGTCTTCCCGATGCAAAAATAAAATTAGTATAAAAGACATATAATACAAAAATTAATCAAGGACATAAATAAAACAGAAAATACAAAATGATACAATTATTTACAAGGGTTAGTTTCTGAAGTTTTGCACGAGAAAATGCTGATAAGTAAAATTTGGCATAAAGTAGGGAGGAAGGATGGGCTTATATCAGAGGGAGGGCTTATACAAGAGGAACTTCAGAATTCGTCTGTCATCTAATAATCTCCCTGAATCTATTCGACTGTCTGTCTATGACTATATCAATCTCTACCATTACAGTGTACAGTATCATTATAGTTTTACTTTAGATAGCTATCTATAATAAAGAATATTGAATTCATTACCATAATAGACATACTGTACTGTAATCCAATTTTGAAAACAAACTATTTTATCATGAAAAAATCTTGTTTCATTTAACTTTATAATTGAGTTCCTACAGTTTTGATTAGCAATAGAAAATGAATAAGAGTAATTTTTAAAATTATTATAGTGCCAAGATTAACAAAATAACGAAACATATTTTTATAGATGTACATGTTGTCTTGTTAGTTTCAAATTGCGTATAATATTGTTTGAGGGCTTCCTTAAATTATCTTGCCAAAAATAATATGTCTTGTTAAAACAAATGCTATGATGCAACACTGTTCTAATGTTTTCTAAAAGTTTTCTTTCATTTTTGAGTATACTGAGCTTGTGCAGATATATATTCTATGCTGTG